TGGTCTTTAATAATTAATTAGCTAAAATTTAATTTCATTTAAATTGACAAATATTAACAATTCACGCTATATTATCAGAACATTAAAGAGTTATTTTAAGTTACACGGTGGCCGAGCCCACAAGAATTAATTTTCTTTTTCTGATATCAAAATCATTCATACCTTTTGTTTTGTTTAATTGAATAAAAATGATTTGGTTTCATTTTGATTTTTGATATATGCAGTAATTCATGAAATCTACCGAAATTCTAGCTTTGGATAGTTTTTTATTACATTTCTCATTATTTCGAACCAAATTATTGTCGTCATTATTTATTTTATTAACGTTAAAATAGTATTCAGTTTTCCAATTCATCACCAGTGTATATGACCTATTTCGATTCTTCATTCATCTTCAGCACTTGTTGCAGTTTCATACTTGTTTTAATAATTTTAATACTTGTTGCAATTTATATAGGGAATTTGTATAGCTCAGGCCTTTGTTCCAGTGATTTGATAAGTGACTTTGTTAATTTATCTGTCTTCTTTACTAATTGATATGGATTCTCTGTTCAAGCTGGTTACTTTTGTGTTACGTTTTAATTCTTCGGTGTTATGTTTTATCGCTTTTGTGTTATATAAATTTATATGTTTGTATGAATGTGTATGTGTTTGCGTGTATGTATAAAGTTATGGTTGCGTGTCTGTGAAAAGTGTGGGCTTATTATTCGTTCCCTTTTAAGGTGCATTTGCATAAATGCTACATGCTGTGAATGAGTTTGTATGATTTTATTTATATGTGTGTATGTTTGTGTGTTTGTGTGGTGTGTGTGGCAAGGTGTAAGTGTGTTTAATGAGCTATGTTTGTTTATTTTGTCTGTTTGTGTGTTTTGGGTGCGTGTTTGTCTGCGTGTGTTTGTAGATGTTGCTTAGAATTTTTGTGTTTAATTTTGAATTTTAAAAAAAGATAAACCTGAAACTTCACGTTTGTATGACAACGTAATGAATGGTGATGATGATGAAGATGATGATGAAGATGATGATGAAGATGATGAGATGATGATGATGATGATGATGATGGTGATGATGATGATGATAATGATGATGATGATCATGATCATGATCATGATGATAGTATAATAATAATAATAATAATGCTGGTGGTGTTAATGTTGATGATGAGGGTTATGGTAGTAGTAGCGATGATGACGATGATAAACAATATATATACACATACACACATATAGTATATATATATATATATGCGATACCTTTGGACCAATTGTTTATATCGATACATTTATTTGCCCGCATACATTGGTCAATAATATCACTTTCTCACGAAATTAAGCGGAAGCTATCGAGACATGTGAACATGGCAGAAACATAACAACAACAAAAACAACAACAACAACAACAATAATAACAATAATAATAATAGAATAAAGAAGCAAATAAAAATAATTAGTAATCAGTATTATGCTTTATCACCACTATTGATATTAGTATATTTATTATTATTATTAATATTATTATCATGATTAGCATAATTTTTAGCCAACATCCGTTCTTTAATCATCGCTAATTATCATAATTTTTCTCACTATAACATCCGGATACGTTCGTAATCGCCGTTATGCTTATTATCATTCTTAATATCATTGAAAGCATCTCAGCCATCATCACCATCATCTCGTTACGTTGCATATTCGCTATCATCATTTTGTTATCAGTTTTCATAATCTTGTCTTTTTTTATACAATAATATCATTATCGTTATCACCAGACTATCATCATTTTTTGATATATATATCATCATTATCATCATCTTATTATTTATATTATCATCGTTGTCGTCGTTGTCGTAATTGCCATCATCATCACCATCATCATCATCATCATCACTGACTTCCTCTTTTTATACATATCATCACCACTACATGTCGAAATTATATCACATTTTCTTATTCTCATTGAAGCTATCATCATCATTATCATTCCGGCTGCTTTCTTTATCACCTTTCTAGGTGAAAATAATACCCTATGAAAAGTTTCACTCCAAATTTTTCATCACAATCTTTCTTGTAGTGCAAACAATAACTTGAAAAATGTTTCCAAGTTGGTTTATTTTTTCGCCATCATTATCTTTCTTTCCATTATAACTTATGAGCAATGAACGAATGACATGTGTCAACAACTAACACTACTGCTACTACCACATCCGCTCTTCAATTCAACTACAATTGCTTATTTTTCTATCATTCACATTTGTCACGAAATTGCTTTTTGTTTCTCTACCTTTATTCATCTTTCTCTCTCTCTCTCTCTCTCTCCCTCTTTCTCATTTGATCGGTCTCTTTTTTTCATTTTTACAGCTTTTTATATTTATATTTTTCTTTTATGAACAGCAATCCGATTTAAATTCTTTTTTGTTTATTTATTCCAGCTTTAAATTCTTCTTTTTCTTCTTTTCAGTTCATATATGGCTACTTCTTATGACTATTTTTACATTTCCGTTTTTCCGTGTAGACGTCAGCATCTCTCGGCCACAATTACAACACGAGCGACAATTTATTGCATCAGTTACACACCGATAGATATAAATATTATTTTTCTTCGGCGTTTCAAACCGGCAGCTATGTTTGTATTGCAATCAGAAAATAAACAACGAACAATCAAGAAACATTTTTCGAAATGTTCATTCATTCGAGAATAAACTCATGTAGCTGAATTTGTTTGCCATTATTTCATTTATAGACGTATTTTTTATTTTTTCTTGCAATGTTTTTCTGGTGTTATTTAAGAAGTTTTTCATGTTAATTTGATGTTTTGAAAAAAAAACGTAATTAAAAGCATATATTTTAAACAACTAATCATTCAAATTATTAAAATTAAAATTGTAAAATTTCAACGAGAGCATTTTAAAATGAGCATGAATTGTGTTTTTAATTGATTCAACAGCAAAATATTTCTGCTAATTCTTTCAAATGTTGAATTTATTGAAACTTTTGGTCCAATTTCACAAGGAGTTGAAAATTTTCATTCACCTCATCTGCTGATGAGATTGCGCTAATAATTATAACTTATCATTTATAATGCTTTATGAGAAAATTAGTAAACTAATTCAATTGTGATAAAAAAAAGTTAGCTAAAACAAAAATGGCATCGTTTTAAAAAACGAATTTTGTATTTTTCCCAATGCAGAAAGTTCGAAACAAATTTATTTTTGTGAGTAAAAAGGATAATTTGACAAAGCAAAAAATAATTGGCAAAGCTTGCGTCTATTTGCAATTTGATACACGTGAATGACGCGGTATGGAACACCGCTGACTCGTTCTTTTTTTGGTTGCTGCTTTTTTGCTTTAATGTTTGGGTTTGTTTTGTTTTTGTTATCTGCTGTGTATTTTTTGTATATTTATATTTTGATTATCGTTTATCTTCTTTTTCAATAATTTTGTTTAAACTTTTTGTTGCACTTTAAATAAATACAAAAATATATAAATAAATATATATATATATATATATATATATATATATTATTGTGTGAAAAAGAATAGGAAGAAATAGAATAAGGTGTGAAAACGCTATTAATTACAATAAATGGAGTGATGATGAAGAAGAAGAAAAAGATGATGATGAGGAGGAGGAAGAAGATGGTGATAATGACAATGACAATGGCAGAAATTCAACTAATATGTTGAATGATGACTGCAACGTGATAAATGATACAGGCGTTTGCAGCAGTCGTTATAAACGGCAGCATTATTATAATGGTCGCAATAAAGTAAGTAAGACTAATGGTGGAATTCAAAAATAATGGTGATATTTATGGTGAAAATGACGCCAATATTAACAAACGATAATAAATAAGATGAAATGTAATGCTAGTAATAAATTTAATAACTTAATAAATCGTTTGAAACAGCATTTTTTTAACTGAAAAAAATGGATATAGAAATTAGCAGAAATGTAACAAAATACTAGCCACACATAGACATAATAGAAATATAAAAGTCAACGCTGTAGATAGATACAAATGATTGGCAACAAGTTTTACAAACTTGAAAATCACTAAACTTTCATAAAAAAAATTAAAAACATTTAGAAAATAGCCAAATATAAATACAAATTAAAGCAATATAAATTATCCGGCAAAACAAGTCACCGTCCAAAACAACGTAAATTGACCCGATTTATACATACGCAAACAAATGGAAGACATCCACAATTAAATGAGCAGATATAGAGATACAGAGAAAAAAGGCGACAGACATGATGAGGCAGACTCGACGACCAGCCACACTCCAT